AATTAAAACAAAAAAAATTCATCGAATTTGGTCAAGTAGTTATTGAGATATCTTCGCTCAAAGTTCAAAAATATTTTACTAAAAAACTTTTGCCGCAGAGCAGAATTTAAATAACCACGTGACGTACGTAAAAATAAACAAAAATAAAGAATCCCACAATTTTAGAAAATTATAAATATCACCAAATTTTCTGATTGTAAAAACTCATACTTACCTGCCAGGATATGACCATGATCAAGAAGGTGGTTGTATAGGTGGTGGCTGCTGGCATTGCACTATAGCTGGCGGCTGCTGTCTTGAACATCCTACGGGATGTCTCAACTGGATAATTTTTTGCTGTTGGGGTTGTTCGTGGTTCGCCGCGGACTGCCCCTTATTTAATAATTATTTTAAGCGGGTTGGGAGTGGGAAAATATAAATATAAAAAAAGAAAATAAACAATGTTTATACTGATATAGTAAGTTTTACTATTTTTATATATTTTATTTAAATAAAAGTATATCGATCGATATAAAAAAAAACGATGTTATTTGTTATTATTATAAATTATAAAATATAATTTTTTTTTATTCAAATTTCAATATGCTTTTTTTTTTTTTAAAAAAAAACAACATAAATTTCAACAAAACATTTATATACACTATTTTCTTTTATCAGTTTAAATTACTTTAAATTAGAGAACCATGGTTTTATAAATCATGAAGGTGGCTGAATGAAATTCTCGCATAGGTTGATTTTTTGGCGAGATATTTACATAAAACGTATCATTCTCGGACCAATTTGAAGTGACGGTGAAGCAGATGTTATCCAAATAGAGCAAAGCAGACTAATTCACAAAAAATCGGTAAGAAGTTATTATATATATTAATTATGGTAAACATGATTTAACTAAAAATATATACTTACAACGCTCCAGACTAATTTCGCATTTGAGCCTGGAGGTATTCTCCATAATTGCACGAAAACTTTGGCTATAATTATCAAATAGTAACGGATAAAAATCAGTAATCTATCTTAATCACTTCTAACCTACAATCTTAACAATTATTTCCATTAACGGCTTGTATTTAAGAAGATTACTAAAACTTACTATTTCCATCATACCCAAAATAAATCCATTTAATACATATATCCGAACCAATGGGATACAAACCTTGGACTGGCGAATATATTTCAACAGAATTTTCAGTTGCTTGAATTTGGTAATGTGTATTTATTGTTAGAAAAATTATTACTAGTAGGAGGAATGTTGATGTTTTCATTTTTATGATTTTAATATAAAAAATTTTTTCACTTGTATTTTCGTTAAGTTATTGATGATCTAATAATGATAAGTATTTAAGTAATTTAATCAAATAAAAGGATTTGTTCTCTAGGTAAATGTGAGCAAGAGGAAATGCAAGGAGTTTTATATTCTTTCAACAAGCATAATGGCTTAACTTTTCTCCTCGCTCGTTCGCATAAACTTATCGTGTAAGTAAATAGTTCCACACCGCGCATAAAGGCTGATTGTGTAAATTAAACGAACGAGAACGACTTGTTTCTTCACAGCCGCGTTCTTCTAACGAAAATTTTGGTTTAACATTCTCTAGTCGCATTACAAATTTTGAATTGGTTTTATTGCGCCTTTTTTTAAAAAAGTTTTTTTTTGTTTTTTTTTTTTTTTTTTGTTTTGGGCGGTGTTAAACGAATTTTTCGTATTTTGTTTATAAGTGGCTCGGGTAGTATAACTATAAATTTAGAGAGACAAATAGTTAAGATGTTACATTTATCCGATCATTTAATCGAATATCTAATATTTTGTTTTTATTTATTTTATTTTAAGGGCGGTTTTTGCTTATAAATACGTTTATTAATTATGTTTAGATAACCTTTTATTACAAATTATAGTAAACTAGTAAACTTGAGATACCGAAGTCTACGACTAGTCTACAGCACGACCGTTGTGCCACTCTTTCACAGTGGCTTATATAAGACTTAGGAGTGTGTGGCCTACCTATATTTGTGTGGTAGCGTTTTTCTTTATAAATACTACAAATTTAAATAAAGATGTCATTATACCAGTAGTATGAACAAAGGACTGTCTCGATTAATTAATTTTTCTTCAAACTGTGAATGCGAGAACAATCTTAAATATAAATTTATAAAAAATAAACTTGTTAAACAAACTCTCGTGCTTTTTTAAATTAAAACAACAAAAATATTTTTATATAAAAATATACGATCAGTAAACAAGGATCGAGAAGGCGTGATGCCATGATTTTTTTTATTGTGACTTTTTGTTTTGTTGATTTCGGGCTATGCACTTAGCCATGAGCATGAGGATCGATAGGTCGGGAAAAGCAGGACAAAGCCACCACGTTAAAATTTCATTAGACAAATAACGATATCAAAGTTTTTTGATCAAATGATTTGTGATAAACAAAACATTAAAGCTAAAAAAAAAAAAATTATTTGTACTTCGATCAAACATTTGAATTTCTTAACCGTAAAATCATAAAGAGGCTTATAAAACAACAAATCATATGTATTGATAATAAAGATTATTACAGTATTAATATTTTAGAAACTAGGAATGCTTTACTTTAATGTAATTGAACAATTAGTTTATAGTAATTAAGAGTTTAAAAATCACAAGCCTTTTCTTCAAAATTCCTAATATATTTCAGATAGACAATTTTGGTTCTATATTGCGGCTTGACGTACCGACGCCTTCAGGGTGTATAATTTATATAATCAATTGAGACACGTAGTCAATCAAGCCGATTACGAAAAAAAAAAACAAAAAATAAATATTATACAATTTATAATTTTTCACAAATATTTTGATAAAGAATTTTTTAAGTTTCCCAAAGACTTTGACACGTTTTGTGAATGTGTTTGTGATATTTGTATGGTCATCAAATCATTTGTATTAAGCCATTATTAATTCTTTTATCTTTTTGATAAAATTTTCGATAAAAGGACTGTATTATAGTATTTTAATATTCTAAAAAAAAAAAATTTTATTAAAAATATTTTACCGTAATTCATGTGCTTATCTTGAGGGTTTGGTTACCCACGTTAATTATTCATATCAGAGTAGTTGTTAGAGGTTTCGCCATTGGCGAAAGGCGAAACCTAATTTCGACTTTCGAAATGTGACAAACTGGCGAAACTGGCGAAACTGATTTAATATTTCGACCAAGCCGGCCTGCATTAGCATAATGCAGGCCAAAATTTCATGCGCATTATATTTTACTGAATTACTGTGTGCTTAAGATAAATTTTGGCCATCTTTAAGATTCAAATTGGCTAAGAGAAGGACTCCGAAAAGCTTTAGGGTAGACTATGAATATAAATATAAAAAACGAAGCAAGGTTGGTCAATTAAAATTTTTATTCTTTGCGGTAACTTTGGTAATTTGCCATTTAGGGTTGTGAAATTGTCGGGTAACGGTAATTTTATGTATTTTTACGTAATTTCGGTAAATCAATATTTCAATGTACGTTGTAAAGGTAGGGATTGGAACCGCCTAAAATTTCTTTAATCGTTTAACCGTTTAATCGTATTAACCGTTTAACTCGGCTGGCATTAAGATAACCTTGGCCCATGATCAACATAATTCGGCCCGAAATTATGGAACAATTTTTATGCGGTTAAACGGTTCCGGAAATACTACGCCCCGACGTAGTACGATGTCCTATTTTTAGAATCATTTCTTGTTTAACCTTTTATACGTAGTAGAAGCTAGTATTAGTAATAGATATTTCACGGTTTCGATGCCCGTAACATTTCTGATTAAAATTTTAATGATGTCGTAATGCCCCGTGGAAAAATTTTTGATATTTTCACGGCATTACGTCATCGTAAAAATATCATCAGAAATGCTCACGGGTGAACAATAGATATAAAGTATATATCGAATATAGCGAATATCGGGTATGTTCCATATGGTGGATATGGAATATAAATTCTACATAGCAAAAGTGCGACAAAAGGAATATTAGACATAGATAATATGTTCGATAAATTGAACATATTCAAGTTGTACTTACTATAGTCTTATAAAGTATATAAATGCTGTCTTTTTCCCTCAATAAAGATAACTCAGCTTACTGGGAGTTTAATAAAATAACCCCCGATATCAAACTAACTTTGACTTTGATAAACTCTAAACAAATCTTTCACGCTCTCTTTCGAAGCCTTCCACTATTGGGGTTAAAGTTAGTTTAGTGATAGGTTGTAGAGGTTTGTTGGTGTGACCATCGTCCTGGCCTATCCTCGGATCCCGGATTTCTTTTCGCCCTCTACAACGTGTTATAATTTTTTATCATTTTCATTATTCCTGAAACACTTGATTAAAAATTAGCTAAGTGATTAACTGTCTGATTCGATAAGGTTTTGATTTCAGTATGATTGGTATAGCATAGTGGGCATTCGATTGGATTGGTTAATAAATGTAAACAATAAACATGATTACTAACAAATCATATCAATCACAAAATCTAATATATGAGTAACTAATATATTTTGTTTTTACTTATTATTACTTATTATAATCTAAGTAGTAATTTTATTTTATTCTAAATTATTATAGCTTATACATACAAGATGAATTATCAAAATAAACTATAACTTTTTTTTTTTTTTTTTAATTCGGCAGTCATGCCATAACTTTATTTAGATTTGTTTTTCATTTAAAAACGACATTATTTAGTAATGTACTATCTAACGACTAATTTTTTAAGCTATGACTCACCTGGTTATCCTATGGATACCTATATGCAATCTGCTATAGTGATCTTTGTCCTATATTGAAACAATTTATAATATAAATTGTAAGTCAAGATAGGAAGGACGCCACAGCCCATCATGACTA